TCGCGAATGCCGAAAGCCCGTTTCGGACCGGTGGCGACACCCCCCAAGCCCGAGGATGAAAGACGAAGGGGTTTGTGTGTGGACATGCAATTGGTTTAAGGTTTCCGTACATGTCTAGGGAGTCGTATATGTCCATGACTATGACCGTTGCATGCTTAGCTGATTAGTAAGTACTTGGGGGATTTTGATGGTTCATTCTTGACTAGCTAGAGTGCTCGGGAGGGAGTGTTTTCAACCTTTGCCGAGTGAGGTACTCGGGAGGGAGTGTTTTCAACCTTTACCGAGTGAGGTACTCGGGAGGGAGTGTTTTCAACCTTGGCCGAGTGAGGTACTCGGGAGGGAGTTTTTTCAACCTTGGCCGAGTGAGGTACTCGGGAGGGATTTAACGACTCAACCTTAACCGAGCTAGAGTGCTCGGGAGGGAGTGTTTTCAACCTTGGCCCAGTGAGGTACTCGGGAGGGAGTGTTTTCAACCTTGGCCGAGTGAGGTACTCGGGAGGGATTTAACGACTCAACCTTAACCGAGCTAGAGTGCTCGGGAGGGAGTGTTTTCAACCTTGGCCGAGTGAGGTACTCGGGAGGGATTTAATGACTCAACCTTAACCGAGCTAGAGTGCTCGGGAGGGAGTGTTTTCAACCTTGGCCGAGTGAGGTACTCGGGAGGGATTTAACGACTCAACCTTAACCGAGCTAGAGTGCTCGGGAGGGAGTGTTTTCAACCTTGGCCGAGTGAGGTACTCGGGAGGGATTTAACGACTCAACCTTAACCGAGCTAGAGTGCTCGGGAGGGAGTGTTTTCAACCTTGGCCGAGTGAGGTACTCGGGAGGGATTTAACGACTCAACCTTAACTGAGCTAGATTGCTCGGGAGGGATTTAATGATAGTGATGAAGTGTAGTTCTTCGGACGGGCCATGTTGTTGACACGGCTTGCACTGTTGGGTAAACTTCATGCAATCACTCGTGAGGGTGGGCCAGTGATAGCCGGCTCAGATAACTTTGGTCGCTAAGGTTCGTCCCCCTGAACGCGTTCCGCATATGCCCTCGTGGATTTCACGGAAGACATAATGTGCTTGATCGAGTGCAAGGCATTTCAACAAAGGCGAAGAAACGCCTCGCTTGTACAACTCTCCTGTAATCAACGGGTATCGGGCAGCTATGACCCTTAGCTTCCTAGCTGCGAGGTGATCATCGGGTAATTCCCCGATCAAAAGATGGCGTGTTATGCCGGTCATCCAATTGTCGTCCACCTGTTGGACCTGCAAGCACTCAATTTCCCCAACGCTTAGGATTTACAATTCTTGTTGTATAACACTGCGTAAGTGGCTAATTTTCTTACTACTGGCTAGCTTGGCCAATTGGTCGGCTCGCGTATTGAGTTCCTAGGGTGTGTATTCAACGTGGATATCTTTGAAGTTGTCCTAGTGTTTCTGGAAAGCATGGAAGTATAAGTAGCATTGGTTCTTTAATTTGGAAGGTGTCGTTGACTTGGCCCGTTACTACTTGTGAGTCGCTCCAACACTTGATTCTGGTGACGCCCAAGTCATATGCCAACCTTAATCTTGCGAGAAAGGCTTCGCACTCAGCTTGGTTGTTGGGTGTCTTGAAGTCGAATCGTAGTGACTGCTCGACCACCACCTTACCAAGACCTTCTAGTATAACGACTGGTCCACTGCCTTGTTGGTTTGATGACCCGTCTACATGCAGGGTCCAGACGTGCGACTCGGGAAGGATTTCTGGGGTGAATTCATTTATGAAGTCGGTCATGCTTTGTGCCTTGATAGGTCCTCTTGGTTCGAAACGAATATCAAATTATGACAGTTCTATGGACCAAGCAACCATCCGTCTAGCTAATTCGGGCTTTTGTAATACCTTGACAATTGGGTTATCAGTCTTGACTACGACTTTGTGGCTTTGGAAGTAATGTCGAAGACGTCGGGCTGTGTGCACAAGAGCTAAGACCGTCTTCTCAAGGTGTTGGTACCGGGTCTCGGCTTATTGCAATGCTCAGTTGATGAAGTATACCCATATTTGTTCCCTTTGTTCTTGCACTAGGACCGTGCTAATGGCTTTGTCTGATATTGAAATATAGCCGATCATCTCTAGCTGGGGGTTTGGTTTAGCAAGCAACGGCGGGGCTGTAAGCATTGTCTTGAAGTTTTGAAACGAGGACTTGCATTCTTCAGTCCATTGGAACTTGCTGGCCTGCTTCAACGAAGACATTATGGGTCTTGACTTGTCTGCCATGCATGGCAGAAAACGAGCCAATAAGGCTATGCGTCCGGCCAGTCGTTGCACTTCCTTTACATTACGTGGGTTTCTCATATTAACAATGGTCTGACATTTGTCGGGGTTAGCTTCTATGCCTCTCTTTGACAACATGAAGCCCAAGAACTTATCGCCAGCGACTCCGAAGGTGCACTTTGTTGGATTTAATCGCATGTGATGCCGCCTTCATCGAATATCGTTCTGAGATCCTTTACGTGATCGCTAGTGGAGGCTGATTTAATCACCATGTCATCCACATACACTTCCATGCACTTTCCTATCTGGTGCCGGAAGATCTTGTCCATGAGTCATTGGTAGGTTGCCCCTGCGTTTCTCAAACCGAACGACATTACTTTGTAGCAAAAGTTGGCTAAATCGGCGATAAACGCGGTTTTCCCTTCATCTGGTGGGTACATGGGTATTTGATTATACCCTGAATAGGCGTCTAAGAAGCTTAGCCTTTGATGTCCTGCCGCTCTGTCGACTAATGCGTCGATGTGTGGTAGGGGGTAGGCGTCTTTTGGGCATGCCTCATTCAGATCCGTGTAATCGGTACACATCTGCCATTTGCCATTGGCCTTCTTGACCACTACCACATTGGCCAACCAGGTGGAGTACTTGACTTCCTAGATGAACCCTGCTTGTAGTAGTTTGGTTGTCTCTTCTTTTACTGCTTCGACCCTCTCTCCTCCCATTTTTCTTTTCTTCTGGGTGATGGGTTTGGCATCTTGTCACACGAAGAGCCGATGGCAGTGGAAGCTTGGGTCGATTCTAGGCATGTCGGCCGCCGTCCAGACAAATAGATCCGAGTACTTTACAAGGATTTGCTTAATTTCTCTTGCTTCGTCCTCAGACAATTGAGAACTTAAGTACGTGACCTGTTCCTTACTTGTCCTGAGTTGAAAGGGGATTGTTGTCTCGACCGGTTCAACTCGGTGTTCGTCCTTAATTCGTGGATCGAGCTCCAAGTCTATGACCGGACTCTGGTGGTGGACATCGCCTATGACATTGACTTCTCATCTCAGCTTTGGAGTTGGCTGCACCTTTAAGCTAGCGAAGTAACATTCGCGGACCATCTTTTGATCGACGTGCAGCGTGATCACCATGCCTTCTTAGGGGAACTTCATAGCTAAGTGGGGGGTGGAGACGATAGCTCGGAGCTTGTTCAGGGAAGGTCAGCCCAACAGGATGTTGTACGAGGTGTTAGCATTGACTACCACATATCGTACTTTGATCTTTCGCCTTTGTTGGTCGTCTCCAAAGTAGGTGTATAGGTCTATTGTCCCTCGGGTATCCACTCTTTTCACCAGCATTTTCTTTACAATACAATTGTTGATCTCTACACTGATGACCATGGGGTCGTCTTGCACTGGGTCGATCCCTTTGAAGTCCTTGTCAGTGAAGGTAATTGGCGGCATATGGATCATTTTCGCCCGCGTTACTGCGTTAACTGATCTGATTGCTCTTAGGTGTCTCTTTCGTGCCGAAGATGTGCTTCCACCCCCTGCAAATCCTTCGGCTATTGTTTATGACCCTCCTGGGTTGATTTCGGTCTTGTTGCCTATCATTTCTCTCTAGGGTCCTGCTTCGTTCCCTAGATTTGTGCCTCGGAGGTGCCCTTTCACGGTTCCTTCTTCCAGACTTCCTCTTATCATGGAAGTTGTCGTATCTCTTCCTACCCGATGGTTGGGTGAAGTTTTGAAGATGACCAGACTTAACGAGATCTTCAATGCGATTTAGGAGGGCTATGCATTCCTCCGTGGTGTGTCCCCGGTTCCTGTGAAACTGGCATGTCTTGGTCTTGTCGGCGTGGGGTGGAGTCATAGTGCGGCGGGGCACCGCAAGGATTTTTATGGCCAATGTCTGCTCCAACACCTTGGTCCTACTGGCGTTGAGCGGCGTATATTATGCATATCGGGGGCCCCTGTTGGTTCTATCTCGATCGGGCGCGTCTTGAGGTCTTAGATGATGTTCCTTTTCGACTTCTTTCTTTCCAGGAAGAAGGTCGGTCCGGTTCTAATTTCTGAACTCGGCCAACTCTTCCATCTGCATATACTTAGTAGCTCTTTTTCGAAGGTCGTCTAGATCTTGGGGTGACTTTTTACATAGGCTGTTTATAAAAGGGTCTGGCCTTAATGCCGTGATAAGGTGGTGCATTGCTACCGCTGGATCTAGGTCTCGGATTGAGAGGGTTACTTTTTTGAACCGTTCCATCAAGGTCCTTAGGGGTTCCTTCTTTTCCTGGCCGATATTGACTAATGCCATCGAAGTGAGCTGATGAGGTCGGTCTGTGGCGAATTGTATTACGAACTGGGAGGACAAGGTTGTGAAAGAGTCCGCAGATCCTGGTGGGAGTCTTGCGAACCAATTCAGTGTCGGTCCCTTTAAAGAGGTAGAGAAAAATTTACACATGATCGAGTCGTCATCGGTGTATAACCCGACTTGAATAACAAATGCAATCGAGGTGTTCTTCAGGATCGGCGGTTCCATCGTATTTTTCTAAGGCCAGATTCTTCCAATTGTCGGGTAATCGGGCTCCGGTAATGTCCGGGGTGAATGGCTTCCTCCCTTACTTTCGTTGCTGATCCATAGTTGTCGTCCCTTCGCCAGGTGACCGAGGGGCCTTCGTCTCTTTGTACCATCCCGACGACTCTTCTTGGTCACGCGTCAACTGAGTGTTCGGGGTGCCACGAGATGGGTGCTAGGAACGATTGTCGCTTCGAAACTCGGCACTTTCTTTCCTGAGGACCGACAACTCGTGGGCATCCTTCTTTTGGAGCCTCTTGAGCTCCATCATCTCGGTTTTCAGTTGCTCGAAGGCCGAAGAGGGATCGGGAGGTGGCGACCGGGCTGTGTATGACTTCTCCGCCCCTTCTTCGTTCTGATTCATTCGCGGGGGATCTCGGGGCATCCCTAGGTGAATTGTTGCGTTGTCTTGTTGACTCCTTATCGTTACCATCTTGCTCTTGGGTCGAGAACCGTTTTGGTTATCGGGCCCCATGGTGGGCGCCAAAATGTTCCTGCGTAGAAACACTCCTCTTGTTGCTCCTGCCTGATGATCTTCCAAGTCTTCGGTGCCGACCGAATACTGCCTCCTATATGTAAAGTTACATGAGGGAATTGGGTAGAGAAAAAGTCCCTTAGAATTATGGGAAATTTTATAATTGTTTCTGTTTGAGGAATTGATGATCCCATTAAATTCTGTATGTATTGAGGATTAGAAATATATATTTAATTTGTGAAAATGATGATCTGGAAGAGAGAACGAAATTGTAGAAAAGTGCCTGTGAGTTAGGTTTTGGAAAAATTGGAGGTTTTACTATTTGATTTAATATTGTATTAAATTGGTGGATTTATTGGGTTTTATATTACTTTACAAATATTATTATATTATTGTTATAGATGTGTATTCATGGTGAATTGCTTGATGGGTATGTGAATCATTATATTGTGTAGACTTATCTGTATGCAATATGGAATTTGAGTTATGAAATGAGATGTGTGGAATGTGAATGAGATGTGATTGTGGATCCTCGTACTGATGACCAAGGGTGAGCACGGCCCTAGGCTGACGCAATTTCTGGGAAACTTCCTAGAAGGTCACTCATCCCTATACTACTCCAGGTCAAGCACGCTTAACTGTGAAGTTCTGATGAGTAAGTTACCGAAATGTATATGTATGTTGTCAATATAACTTGTACAAATTAATTCATTTAAGTCATCCTCAAATATACAATCTCATACTTAGGGATGGCAATGGGGCCCCATGGGGGCGGGTAATAGTAAACCCATCGGCCGGGCCATGTTGTTGACACGGCTTGCACTGTTGGGTAAACTTCATGCAATCACTCGTGAGGGTGGGCCAGTGATAGCCGGCTCAGATAACTTTGGTCGCTAAGGTTCGTCCCCCTGAACGCGTTCCGCATATGCCCTCGTGGATTTCACGGAAGACATAATGTGCTTGATCGAGTGCAAGGCATTTCAACAAAGGCGAAGAAACGCCTCGCTTGTACAACTCTCCTGTAATCAACGGGTATCGGGCAGCTATGACCCTTAGCTTCCTAGCTGCGAGGTGATCATCGGGTAATTCCCCGATCAAAAGATGGCGTGTTATGCCGGTCATCCAATTGTCGTCCACCTGTTGGACCTGCAAGCACTCAATTTCCCCAACGCTTAGGATTTACAATTCTTGTTGTATAACACTGCGTAAGTGGCTAATTTTCTTACTACTGGCTAGCTTGGCCAATTGGTCGGCTCGCGTATTGAGTTCCTAGGGTGTGTATTCAACGTGGATATCTTTGAAGTTGTCCTAGTGTTTCTGGAAAGCATGGAAGTATAAGTAGCATTGGTTCTTTAATTTGGAAGGTGTCGTTGACTTGGCCCGTTACTACTTGTGAGTCGCTCCAACACTTGATTCTGGTGACGCCCAAGTCATATGCCAACCTTAATCTTGCGAGAAAGGCTTCGCACTCAGCTTGGTTGTTGGGTGTCTTGAAGTCGAATCGTAGTGACTGCTCGACCACCACCTTACCAAGACCTTCTAGTATAACGACTGGTCCACTGCCTTGTTGGTTTGATGACCCGCACCTGAACGCGCGCCGCATATGCCCTCGTGGATTTCACGGAAGACATAATGTGCTTGATCGAGTGCAAGGCATTTCAACAAAGGCGAAGAAACGCCTCGCTTGTACAACTCTCCTGTATCTCAACACGAAGCAGATGAGTACCGTCTCTCCAGACTTTAGCTCTCAGCATGAGATAGATGAGTACCGTCTCTCCAGACTTTGCCTCTCAACATGAGGCAGATGAGTACCGTCTCTCCAGACTTTAGCTCTCAATATGAGATGGTTGAGTACTGTCTCTCCAGACTTTGCCTCTCAACATGAGGCAGATGAGTACCGTCTCTCCAGACTTTAGCTCTCAATATGAGATAGTTGAGTACCGTCTCTCCAGACTTTGCCTCTCAACGTGAGGCTGCCTCTTAACACGAGGCGGTTGAGTTAAGTTTGTCTCCACAGTCCACAATGCTGCTTCGACGGTTTGCTTTTCTGATTTTGTGCCGCTGAGGGCTGGATAACGCAGGGATCCGTCTAGGGGATGTGCAGTCATTCATAGGTTCTTGTGCCCCAACTTGCATTGCTTAGTTGGTACCCATGGGGAATTTCTGACTCCTT